TACAGCACACATTACAGACATTGATGCACCAACGCAGATATGTTTTACATGTCTACAGTATAAAGAATGAATAAACCTGTCATATAAACTCCTTGATTTCGCTTAAGCAACTTTAAATATAATATGCATGCACAATAAACTATTGTAAAATTTACTCATTCGGTTCTTTTTGAGTTGGTCGTGCTACTTCGGCTGTTCGTCCTGCGTCATCAACCCGGAACTAAAGTTCGATTCAGTTCGATTTGTGAACCGGCTCAACCGGTTACTTCCTGAGAACCGGCTCAAAAGAACGATTCGTTCAAGAACCGAACATCACTAAAAAGTACCAGAGCTAACATTGTTATTATTTATTACCACAGTAAAACTGTTGTAATTTGGTGTGAGCCAGAGGTTAAACTAAAAAATACTAAACAAAACGACAAATTATTATGGTTTTACTGCAGTAACAACTTTGAAGTAAACTGTGGTCACACATGGTTGGTATAGTTTATTTAGTTTTGAATCAATATCTGTGTCTTTACTGTAGGAACAAGGTATTTACACAAAAGATGCAGCCCGTCTTCGAAAGAATGATCGCCGCAGAAGATCTTTATCTGATCGCAGTCTGTCTCAGAAGTGTGGAGGTAAGTAAATCCATAACAACACTCCCACAACGTTTCTACAACACTCCCACAACGTTTCTACAACACTAAAGCATTTATAGAAGATCTCACTTCAGTACTTTACCTTTTAGCCCAGTTTAGTCTCATGTGTTTTCAGCAACACTCTTAAAGGGGTCATATGATGCGATTTCAATTGTTCCTTTCTCTTTGGAGTGTTACAAGCTCTTGGTGCATAAAGAACATCTGTAAAGTTGCAAAGACTAAAGTCTCAAATCCAAAGAGATATTCTTTATAAAAGTTAAGAGTCAACCACGCCTACCTAAAACGGCTCGATCTAACACGCCCCCACATGTCTACATCACTGTGTGGGAAGCTTTGCATAAAGCAGCATCATATGACCCCTTTAAATTGAAATTCGATTTAACCTTTATAAAGTAGTTTTTTTAAACCTGAATAAATTCATTAAAATATTAAATAAATACATTATTAAAATGATAAATTATTATATAAATATTTATATTTTTTATTTTAGTGTAGTCTCATGTGTAGAGTTTAAATACGAACTGTTGTCAGCGACACTTTAAATTGAAATTTGATTTGACCTTTATAATGTTTTTTTTTTTGGGAACCTGA